AAATAAATTAAAAATAATTGCAATAATTAAAATGTGATACTCCTGGATTAACAAAATCTGCATGTTTATCTATTAAAAACTAATACTGTACTTTTAATTAAGGTTTTTGTTAAACTTTATCAGAAGATGATCTAAGTAATTATCAATGTTAATCATAATTAAATTAAGCTGCTTGTATTAATATTAAAACAAAAGGTTAATTATGTTAATGGAATGGATAAAGTTGCTAAAATGTAGAGATAAATCAAGATCTAAATTGCAATCACTTCATTAAATTATAAGTGAATGGAAATGTTTGTTAAGCAATTGCTAAACCTCTTGAAATGTGTAAATATGATGAAATAACAAAAAATTGTGTTTAAAGCTCGCCAAATGATTATTGTACTACTCCATATTTAAATCTATATGGATGCGTAAGTATTTCAAGATAAAATTAAATTTGTTAATGGATAGATTCGACTTGTTAAGAAATATTGGTAATACCATTTGAAACTAGTTGTAGTAGTTTAAAAAATGCAAATTATTAAGCATGTTAACAAGTATATGAAAATAATGATATGGGATGTTATTATAATAAAAATATGTCACAGTGTGTACCATTATTAATAAGCACAGATAATGAAAACAATAAAAACTTCTAAGAAATACAAAAAGCTAATTAATTCTTAGCAACTGTGACATGTTATGATATATCTTTAGGATTGAATAGAATAATATGTGGATCTATCACAACAGAAAATATTATTTGTAGATGGCATTAAAATAGTTGTAAATTTGTAGAAAAAGATGCTATTTCATAAATTCCTTGTACAGATTTAAAATTTGCAAATCCATTAGCTTGTGCATTAGTAGAATATGAGAATGAATTTTGCAGATATTTTTAATAAGAGAAAGGATGTATCAATTAATTAAAAGGTGAAATGCATTGTAATGATCTTGGGCTCAACTCAGTTAGTTGTAGATAAGCAAAAGGAAATTGTTACATTGATAATGGTAGATGCTTGAGTCTTGGAGAAATTTCATCTTCAAATAATCCTACTGTTTTAACCATTTTATAAAAATTATAATGTTAATCTAATAATCCAACAAAAATGGTTTGTCTAGAAATATTAACAAAAGGTTAATTGTGTTAATGGTCTAATAAGTATTAATAATGTAAAGAAATTTTGGTACTTACAAATAAATAATGTACAGATTTTTCATCATTCCAAGTAAATGTCAATGTTTGTGCATCAATTATCATGGATAATCCAAATAATATTATTATAGGTATTGAATAATCTTTTGAAGAACAGAATCCTGGTTATTGTGAATATGATAAATTATAAAAAATTTGTAAGATAAAGAAAAAGTTTTGTACAACTAAATGTTGTACAGAAAATGAAGAAATAGGAATAAATGCTCATTCATGTAGTAGATTTTCTAGTCAAGAATCAGGAGTTTATTGTTATTTTAAAGATTTCAGATGCTAGGAACTAACTAATTTAGATGTAGATATATCAAATCCTAATAATGTTAAAATTTACTATAACACAAAGAAATTTACTTGTGCTTAAATGAATAAAAATTCTTGTCATATGATAGATTGGTCAACTACTTAAACTTGTTATTATAATGGATTTGCTTGTGTAAATTTAAACTTAAAGGGTTAAGTTAATTTGTTAGATTTTATTGAACCCACTGCCATTCTTAATATTTATGCTTGTTTATCAATTGAGGCAGTTAATGCTGCTAACCCAAGTTAAAAATATTTTGAATATAATTAATAAGCCAAAAATTGTAAGCTTCTTCTACCACCATATCCATAATATTAAAGTTGTGAAAGTGTAACTGGAAATTCTAATATTTGCTTAGGACTTACACATAACTTATATTGTAGATGGGATACAAA